AACCCATCAATTCTTACGAGGTATAATCGGCTGGATCACCAATCTGGATCGTTGATTTATCTACTCGAATTGATTTCCAGGACCATTGGTCACCCCGTCTTTCCAAGTTTTAAAACATTAGATAAAACAATGGGAAGGTTATTATTCCTACACAGATCATAAACCCCATCCATCACATGTGAAATTGGATGACAAAGATCAAAAACACCATCAATGCTCCCTTATAAAAGTAAGATGCACCTCTAAATTTTGCCAAATTATATATTTATTGTGTTGGAAATCTTACGATGGCTTGAAAGTCTATGTCTAATATTAATTATAAAATTTAAAATTTCAAAACAAGATACAGATCGAGTAGATTTATAAACACTTAAAAATCTTGAAAGTAGACAGTCTGGAAAACTTGTTATAGGCTGCACTATTTTAGGATTTAAAAATCTTTCTTTTTTTATATAGCCATACATCTCGAGGTTGATATGATGATTTCAAAAGTTTTTGCCACTTCAGATTATTTTAGTGTTACTAAATTTTTCAGGTGCACCTTACTTTTATATAAGGTTTAACTTTTACTAGCTGCAACCTTATGTAAACTTTTACCTTATGTAAACTTTTTCCTTAATCTAAAGAGTGTACTTTCCCTTATCACTGCTCAGAAAATCTCTAAGTTGGATAAAAAACATTCAATCCAACTCGGAACTACATAATAACCAGTTATGGATAACCCCGAATCATGCAATTCATCGTTCTTTCTTTTTCTTTTCACCTAGTATAATGTAGTGAATTAGGTGATTTGCTTAATCTTAATTTTATCATACTGATATAATTGGAACCACTTTCCAATCCAAGGCTCTATTTTCACTTGTTATTGATTTGTCTCGTTTTAACCCATCTTTTTGGGAAAGGGGCGGGGACTATGATGGTAGCACCCCCACACCCTAGTCACCACATTGTGGTTTGCATTACCCCTCTCAAAAAATAGGGATTGTGGTTTGAATTACCCCTCTCAAAAAATAGGGAAAGTATAGAATGAGACCTTTTACTTTTGATACAATGCAGTCACATTAATCTTAACCATTGGATGTAAAATTGGGTGGCTGCAATTATTCTATTGACCAAGCTCAAACTTCAAAAAAACATTTATGGAGCTTTGCGATACATCCAAACTATCAAATTTCACGTCAAATGGTTGTAAGGAATTGTGAGCACCTTGTATCTAAAGTAAATGGTCTCATTGTATACAATCCTAAAAAAAAAACCATAATTTCTTCTTTTTTTCCAATCATTTCTATAGATCTACAAGATCTATACCTTTGTTGTCAAAATGAAGCACCAATTTTGAGGAATTAAAAATTCCAAAAATATTGAGTTTTTCTCAATTTCAATCTACGCTCTTTCTAAGTTTGATAGTTTCAAATAGACTCAAAATTAATTCAAGTCGTATTTTGGCTCAAAATTGATTCAAAAAACTGTTAAAAAAAATGGATTTTTGAATTGTGATTTTTTGGAATGCGATTCAATATTTGAACTCATTAGAAAGATTCAAACAAAATTTCAAAAAAATATTGAAATCGTATTTTTGGGTAATCTTGAGTATTTAAATTCAAATTTTGAAATTTACAATAAGCCTTAAAGTCGTCTTTTGACTAATTTTGAATGTTTTAATTCTTTCTCCTTTTTTTTTGACAAATTTTGACTCAAAAATTTTTTATAGGAAAAAATTTATAAATGCACCTAAAAACCCCATTAGAAAAGGTTGTTCATATGCTAGAAAGCCCTCAAATTGATCATCTCATCGAGATTCATAGATATGAAAGAAAGGGGATTTTAGTTCTTCTTTTAACACATTATTTGGACTGTATATTTTCAAGATCTTCTAGTGTTTATATTTCTGAAACTTTAATTTTCATAATTGAGAGCAACAATATTTTTTCATATCATCGCAAGGCTTTGCGACATAAAAACTACATTGTGGGCATAGTTTTGAGGTGCACTTTTCTGTTTTTTGACAAATTTTGACTCAATTTTATTAAAGGAAAAAGTTTATATAAGGTGCCAACCTTATAATGTATGAGTAGGGTGCACCTAAAAAGCCCACTAGAAAAGGTTATTCCTATACTGAAAAGAAAACCCTCAAATTAATCATCTCAACCTCGAGATTTATAGACTTGAAAAAATGGGATTTCTAGTCGTAATTGTAGTTCATCTTCTAACACATTATTTGGACAGTCTATTTTCAAGAATTTCAGTGGTTATAGATTTGCTTGATGTCACTATTTTTAATACTTTAATTTTCATAATTGGGGGCAGCAATATATTTTTATATCATCACAAAGCTTTGCGACACCAAAA